CCAAAATTTACTAGCAAAATATTTCTGAGTACATGAGATGTATTACAGCTATAAAAAACACTTTATATTATGGTGGGACCCATTCCCAGTCCTTTCCTCTTCTTTAATTTTCCCTTCCCTGCTCTCTCACTCACCCACCCACCAACTTTAAAAATAAGACTAGCTGGCCTCTTTACTGTATCTATATGTGTGTTTATATATAGAAGGATCCACGCCTTCTGTTTGTGTTTCTGATTATCCTATATTTCTGCAAGAAAAATAAAATGAAAGGAATAGATCTCTTCTGCGCTTCTCCAGCTTCAACAGCTGTTTCTAACCAGCGCTCCGATATGGGTCGCCGGCGACGAGGTCACAGACCCATCGATGATCGTGGTGTTAGCTCTAATAAGCTTTATCATCCGCCATGTTCGTCGCACTTGCCTATACTTCCTCAGCCAACTTGTAATTACAAATTCCAACATGAAAAGAGCAGGAAGAGCACTGATCATGCGGATAATTTAGGTAGAAAAAGCTCTGCTGATTTAAGGAGGTTTAAGAGGAGTAGCAGCACTCCTCATGGCGATTCATCTACGTATCTGTTAAGTGATTTATTATCTGGGTTTGATAAATTAGACGACGGTGATGATGATGGGTTTCCTGGTCTGAAGTCGTCTTCATCAGCCGGAGAGATCAAGTCAAAGCAGCAGGCTGCAGGCTCAACTGGGTTTATAGGTTTGAAGTCTTGTTCATCGGCTAGAGAAAGAATGAATCAGCAGGCTGCAGGATCAACTGAGTTTCTTGGTTTGAAGTCTTGTTCATCGGCTCGAGAAAGGCCGAATAAGCAGGATGCTGGCTCGACTGAGTTTCGTGGTTTGAAGTCTTGTTCATCAGCTGGCGAGCATGGCGGAGGCTCAGCTGATCAATTTCTTGCTTTGAAGTCGTCTTCTTCAGCTCGCCAGGTCACGTCTTCTAAGCAGCAAGAAAATAGCTTACGTACTGATAATCCTTCTGGTACCAAGTCGTCTTCATCAGATCGGTCTCGTGACCAGCAGGTCTCTCTGTATAATCTCTTTTCCATTATATATATATATATGCTGATTAAGTCAAGATACTCGTACTTCTCAAGATATATATACGTATATGTATCTAAATAACTATTATTTGTGTTGAATTTATACCCTGCTATTAGAGATAATCGTAGTTAGATGAATGATTAGATGAGTTGACTGTAGTTAGCATAGATTAATTATAATTAACTCGTAACTACATGATTCGTTTAGTTGTAATTAGTCCACAATCAAAAGATTAGTTGTGATTAGTTGGGAGGATTTAACTAATCACCCTCTATGTATAAAATACCAAGAAATAATTAATGAGAAGCACGAACTTTCATTTTTTTCCTCAAACTCGAACTCTGTCGTCTCTTCTTTACCCTCACTCTCTCGAGTTTAGCTTCCTGATTTCAGAGCTCAATATCTTTCGTCAATCTTTGAGTTTTATTGATCAATCTTCAAGCATTGTTTCTTATTCAATTTGAATTTGCAGATTGTGGTGTTGAGGGTGTCAATCCATTGCAAGGGATGCGAAGGAAAAGTTGGGAAACATATTTCCAAAATGGAAGGTATAGACTTTTTCCATTATATTTTTACGAAAATCTATGATAAATTTATATGGGTATATGTATATATATATATATATATATAATTGAATATTTTTGGTGGTGTACATTTTGTAACTAAAGAAAATAAATATTAATATGATTTCTTTGATATAATACATATAGATATAGACCCCAAATGAATAATAGTTATAATTTTATATATATATATATATATGAAAGTTCATCACTTTTTTTTGAAATGATAAATAAAATTTATAATTCAATATTTATTAATTTCTTAATTATATATTATTTAAAGTAA